CCCCAAAACCCCAAAACCCCAAAACCCCGCCAGATGAAATTGAAAGTAATCTATACTTAATTTAAGTAGATAGCATTAATATTAACTTCAAATAAAATAATTTCCTATTAATTAAGGGAAAAAATAATCAAATCATAATTTATTAAAGTACGTAATATAGTTTTTTAACTTCAATACAATGACAATAAGTAAAATTCTGCGTCTTCATCATTCGGAGAATTAGACAATCTTATATATAATTGCAATTATAATGATAAATTCAACATATACAGAAGCTCTAAAACCAATTAAGACAATCCTAGGTAATGCTAAAGATTAATTTAACAATAAAAACATAAAAGAAGAACGGCTAAGAATTTGAAATAATTCAATTTATCAGGAATGTAAAGAAACTAATACCTAAGATAATCAAAAGCTGTTAGATTTATCAAATTTTGAGATAATAGTTTAAGATAAAGTTAAACTAAGTCTTGGCAGAGTAAATCTGAGTAATTATGATTTTTGAATAATAACAAATTTTTAGGAAATCTTTAAACTAACTAATGTCCCGTAGGAACACTATACCACCCATAAGTCTTCGGAGGTTCCATTGCCGATTGTAATCAGGATATTTTTATCAATGGATTCGATTCAGACAATGATGGCAATGTCATCTTAACTGGATTGGTTGATAACACAGCAGCAAGAACATCATGTAAAATTTATTCTAATGGAAATGTTGGCTCTTACTCCTTCATAACTTATATTAACTTCTAAGGTAAAAATTTAATTGAAAATGAGAATATTTATTTTCCTATTAGGAGACGTTAAATGGCAATAAATATTGGCAAGTAATCCGGGGAAAAATGTTGTTGAACCGAGTATTGCTGGAAATTCTACCTATGCAATTTTATCACTTAATTGATACTTCAGAATTGCCAAATTAGAAACAAGTTCAGGATAAAACTTATTAGAGATTTCATTTGATAAATTTTTGCCACTTTCATCAGATACCATTACTGAAAGTAAATTGAGAGCAGACTCAACAAATCAAGATGTATTCCTAATGATGCAATTATAATCAAGCTATTTTGGGGATAACTCATTTATTACTGGCATGCTTTTAAGACTAGACAGCAATCTTAATCTAAAATGGTGGAAAAAAATGATAGGTTTGTCCGACAATAAAAATTATTTGCCATTAAATTTTGTCATTAGTGACTAGAAAATTTGGGGTGTTAATAAAATCTACCTTGATTCTACCAATTATAAGTTTTCTATGAATAAAATTGACAAGGCAAATGGGCAATATGAAAATTAATGCTTGTTCATGAATACAGATTTAGGATCTACATAGCTTTTTGTCGATTCGGAAATTTCTTAAAATCAATCAACTTGGGGAATCACTTTGTAGGAATCCTCATAAAATTATTTTTGTATTGCTTTTGGATCTATTTCTGATAATTCATTAACTAGTTATTACAACTCAACTTTAGTTTTGAAAGGTATTATTTTCTTGATCATATTATTTCAGATGTAAGATTAGGGTTTAGTTCTGATGGAAATGCTATTGTTTCTGCCATTTATAATACTTGTAAGTAGAATAAGATAAAAATCCTGACCATAACTTATTAAATATTTAATTAAATCGACTAATTAATATCATTATGCTTCATCATTAAAAACACTATTAATAGATTAATTATACGTATTTAAAATTGATGTTTTAAATGGAAATCTAATTAAAAAAATTACTTTCAGTAAAGGGTCAACAACAAATGGGAATATAAGGTATGAAATATGACCTTAAGATTTTTAGATAATTCTCTAAAGCTATTGGCACTTTTATGTACATAGCTTATTAAAATTCCTAACTCTTATCTTCTACTTTTCCGAGGAGAGTATGAATTAAATTATTTATTAAGCCAATACATAGGTATTCATCATAAAATCAACAGAAAATCTAGAAACTAGTTAGTAAAGTTGTTTGAATTATACAATCACTAGTGTAATTACACTAAACTCTGTGAATGTGTCTACGGTATCTTCTAGCTCAGATTTCTTAACTATATCTCCAACAGATGTGATTGGATAGACTATTGATACTGTTACAACTTTCTCCTTAGTCACCTCAATAGCCACAGCTACAGATCTCTATACTCTATATGATAATAACACTAATTCATTCTGCAATATCCCTTATTAGATATCACCCTCTCGAATGGTCTATAATATTACCAGTTCAGCTCTTAATCCTAGTGTTAGTTTAAGATTCAAGATTTAAATATCTAATTGTAAAGGATAAGTGTATTCCATCGATGCAATTAAAAGAAGTAATGGAGCTGAATTACCAACAGGCTTTTCATTTGCCTCTGCTTCCTCTGAATTCTTAGCTTTGATTACCACAGCTAATTACCAGCAATATACAGGGACTAGGCATTACATGATCGAAGCTAATCTAAAAGGTTAAGTTATAAAACCTTTGATTCCTTTAGTAGTCCAGCCGCACAAAGATTTTGTGCGAGATGTTTCAGAACAAAAACATGATTCAGCAACCTGTGGTGATTCAATTTACCCATTTTTTTATGGGTAAGACTATGAAATGCAAGGAATTTAAATGACTTCTGATTAATACAATAACATAATGATAGCTGGACAGGCTGCTAAAAAGCCTTTTGGGGCAGAAGATAGTTTTATAAGAGGGTTTTTGTCGTTGATAGATCAAAGGGGTGTGCCTTTCTGGATTTACTCTGTTGAATCTTAAAATATTGGCTCAACATAATAAGCAGCTTGCTATCATATTTCTTACTAAAATAGTAGTTCTTTACCGTTCTCGGTGTTTGGACTATGCTCCTCAAAAAGCTACTACTTTTAAAATTTGAATTAAGTCTCAGTCATTATTAAACTTTTACATTCCACTGGAGAAATGATATATCAAAAAATTCTACCTTCTGATAATACTAACCCAATTATAGTTAGGTAGTTCTTAGCTTAACAATTCGATGCAGGTAAAGTTGTTGTAGCTTATTAGTACACAATGAATTCCTTGACTAACTTTGCAGTTTTGAATTTCAATGAATTAGATTTCTCAGTTAATTACTTCAAATTTTACTCACCAGACAACCCTTATACAGCCTCATTTTTACTGATCGATGCTGCTAATAACTTAATTTACTAATTTAAATAAAGTGGAAGTTCATTTATGGAATAAGTAAGAATGATAAGCACAACATCAGGATAGCTGTTAAAGCAAGTTACATTAGATCAAGGTCCAAGTTAGAAATAAGCTTTTGCTAGTTTCTATGGAACTAATCAGTTGCTTGTACCCTTCATAGAATACAGTAGCACACCTGTTACACTGCATGCTTATATTTTAAATAGATTTGACTTAACAACTAATAAAAGCTTTGCAATTGTTCTGACTAGCTAATACAGTCATTAGTGCATTGCCTCTACCACGGATTCTTAAAATAATATCTACTTGACTACAGCTAAAAATCATCATCTATTTATAAAGATAAATTCTGATTTGACTTAGCCAGTGTTTAGAATATGGAAAGGAGATTCTACAAGAGACTTGAGCACTAGAATCAATCTAATTACAATTTAGGATGCTCCTTTTTATATGTTTGTCGGGAAATATACAATTGCATCGGATTAAATCTCAACATTGATTTTCAAGGATACAAAGCTTTACAATTGTTTCGACATGTCTGATATTTAACCTAATGATACAGTTTATTATCCAGCCTCATTCACAATATTTAATAAAGACTCAGTTGAAGTGATTAACCCAATTTAGGAAATAGATGCATATTTACCAACGGACAATTTCCCAATTTTACCAGACGGGAATGTTAGATTATTTTCATACAGCTATTCAGCAATTTAGAAAGAGAGATTAGACATCGGAGAAGGTTAGATGTCAAATAAATTTAAAGCATATCCATTTTCAGATGTTAATTGTGGCATGATATCTCCACCAAAAACATTTAATGGGCAGTCTATTTATGAATTTATAAGAGCTGATAAAACTGAAACTATTAAATTGAATTCAACTGTGATAAACTGTCAAGATAGACCAAATTAAATTTCAGTACTTAATCCAATAGATGATTCTACAACTTATAAACAAACATTTGTATCTTATGATACGACCACTAATTTGATATCATTGACACTAAATGCTTCTATGAAGCCATAAAGTTTCTATATGAAAATAAGATACACTGATATAGAGAGCACAACTTATTTCTACGATCACTACATAATGATAAAAATAGTTGATAGTACAAATCTAACTCTGTCTAAATCAAACCCTGAATATTGCAATCAGAATGTTTTTCCAATGAGCTATGGAAATACCCAGACTTATGGAGAATTATACTCCCAAGGATTTTGGGTTAATACAACTGATAATAATTTGATAATTGGTGGCTCATCGAATGCTTCGAATCCATTCATAGAGAATGAGGATTTAATAGATGGTTATGTCATGAGGGTTTCATCAACAGGATATGTAGAATGGCTAACTTAGATTAACTAGCAAAGATAAGTCTCAGAGATAATATCTGCAGTTACTGCCTCTCAGGGATATGTCTATGCACATTTACTATCAGATGGAGATACTGAAGCGACCTGATTAAATGCAATAATCAAACTTAGTTACACAGAAGGAAAAGTATAATGGGCAAAATACATAAAAGTTTATAATCATATGAGCTCAAGTCTGATTTACAACGGGAAATGCTATGATCTTGCTTTAAATTCAAGAAATTAGAGTTAAATTATGATGGCTGTATTTTTCAGTATAAATTCTCAAGCTTATGCAGGCAACATTTAGCTGTACGATGATCAATAAACCCTTGTTTCTACTTTCAATTAAATATTCAAACCTATAGCTAAAATAGCTTCTAACAGTATTATAGGATCAGCTCTCTATGATCCTGATGAAGATTATGTTTATGTATCTAATTCTGGTTATTACAGGCAGTCAGGATTTTAAGATACTTTAGTATTGAAATAAAGCTCTGTAACAGGACAAGTTTCTTGGAGCAGACTTTATAGCTCTGGTATTTCACTTACAAGTAACTTTATCCTATTAAACTTTAAATTTTTTAGATTCTTAAGCTTTTTTACCGTTTATGGCTTACAACAGCAAATCTAAGAACTTATTTGTTGCTTCTACAGCAACTTACTCTCATTTGATTAAAATTTCTGCAGAAGATGGCTAAACTCAAATTAGAGTTCACTTGAAAACTAGTTCTTTTAGTGGTTTTCAACATATTGAATTAGCAATTGATGAGTCAAATAATAACGTAATAGTTTTAGCTATGTCAGTTGGAACTGCAGTTGTTGAAATAATGACATTAACCTAGAATTTTGAAACAGTCTCCTATGCATACTAAACTCATAGCTAGGTTACAAATACTTTTGGAAGATTTATATATTAGGTAGGGGATTGGTACTACTATCTAGTTAATGTGATAAAGTATGGCTCAGCTTCTTATTCTGGAAATGAAGTATTGCTTGGCAAAAGATCTATCAAATATGATGATTATTCAAGATATGAGTGTCATAGTTCAACATTTTCAAATTATTATGCTCTTTAGACAAACTTTTCTATTTCAGATTCTTTATTGCCTTCTGATGTTCTATACTTATCAACCATGCAACTAGTTACTATTGATCAAGGATACATCAAATCATATTAGTTGTAGACTTACCATAGAAGTTAGTTACTTCCAAATCCAGACAGTCTTGATTCATTGGGATTGTAGCATTCACTTGTTAATGCAACATTGTGCTCCTCTGTAACTGGTTACAGTGCCCCAAGTATGATTGAACTAGATCCGATTGAATTAATCTAAGGAAGTTCAGTATCCTACACACTAGATAGCTCAAAGTTTAGATAATGCTAAGGTCTAGATGTAACCTATAATACTACACTTGATGAAACATATAATTCTACAAGATCAGCAACTAATTCCTTTATCACAATATCTGGGAACTAGATTACTGTTGATGCAACAAGTTCAACTGTATATCCAAGTTTTAGATAGTTGATCATCACTAATGTCTGTACTGCTGGAACTACATTATGTGCGCCATTAGTGATGTTGCCTGTTATAATTTGGCCTCTTAATTATAAAAATGCTTCCCTAACAATTCCTTAAAAAATATGCTAAAGCAATCAATAGTATCCTAAAGTATTATCAGGATATACAAATTAATACAGTGGTTCATTCTATTTCTATAAAGCAGATGTTGACAATAATAATGGAAACTTTTTAATGTGTGGATAATACAATGGCCTGATAAACAGTTTTTATAAAGACAATCCAAATAATGGTGCCATCTTGCTATCAGATATAAATGGAAAAATAATGTGGGCTTTTACAAATACTCATGTCTTTGCTGGAAATGATACTTGCTTTCTTTCATGTCATTTTAGTGAAACTAAATATGTCTACTCTGGCTTAGCTATAGCTAATGATATATTTGCACTTTTAAAATAAGATTATGCCTCAGGAAAACTTATTTATTAGAGATAAATACCTGGAAAGTATTAATATAACTAGAGATAAACAGCCAATCTCTTTTATGACAATAATGATAAAGCTATCTATGTTACAGGATATAGACATGATCAAAATGTTATTGGAAATATTTGGCAAAATTATCTGGCTAAGATTGATGTATCCTCAATAAATCCTACTTAAAAATGGTATAGTTTTATTAAAACTGCTAATTAGTAAGCTACTTATACAATTACCTCAGCAGCGTTTTCTACCTAGAGTAATGATCTCTTTGCAATAAGTGATCAGTACCTATCATTTGGAGTATTTACTTCAATTAGTAAGTACTCTAAAACATCTGGGGTTAAGGGCTTGTTTTAGCATTACTAATCTTCAGGAGGAAGATTTTCTAGAGTTCATACAGATTATCCTTTTATTTACATAGCAATTTCAACAATTATTCATCCAAATAATGAAATAGTAATAAGATAGATGCCAGAAAATCTGACATCAACTGTAAATAATGTGAAAATAACTATAAGCAGGGTATTTGCTTCAAATACCAATAGTTTTCTAAATTGTTTTGCTAGTGATAATTCCTACTTGTTCATGTCCGTAATCTATTAGTAATACTATTTTTTAATTGCAAAAATTTAAAAGTCTAATTTTCAGGTTATCAGCCTAAAAATGTAATTTATAATTTAGATGATACTTTTAGGGGAATAAATATGGATTCAAGTTCAGTCACAAAATACTAGATATTCATTTACGAAGATAAAATTTTCTAATTTTTTTATGCCCTTGGTTTCAACTGTAAGTTTATTCTACTTTTATGTAAATTTAGCCCCTTCATATTATGAGGGAGTAGTAAATATGCTAGATAAAAATTTGAATGGTCCTTTATCTTGCTTTCCATTTAATGATATGAGTATTAATCAAACTTTAGATATATCAAATCCATTCATTGATTATAATAGTTATGTTACATAAACAGTGTATCAAGCAGATTATAAACTGACTCCTGTAATAAAACAATACATGGAATTTTATCCCTTCTAATCCCGAATTAGTTTCAAAACTGCAGATTATATTGGATGTAGGAATGATGGATTAGAGTTTAACTTTTTATTAGAAAATTAGATAATAGTACTACCAAAAAATGAGCACACTTATACATTTGATTGGCCTATTGATTGCATTGGAAGTGAAATAATCTTCTCTTGGAGTATTGATGGTTATAATACAAATTTTTATAAAAGCTTCATAAACTTTACCAACACTTCTAGTATTAGCACTATGACTGTTAAACCGAATAATTCTCATATAGGCACCTATAACATTAATGTCAAATTTTATTCATAATCTTATCCAGCTTATCAAGTCACAAAGTAATTTATTTTAGAAATCTATCCATAAACAGAATATGGAAGCTAAATTATTGAGAGTTAATGTACAGGCTCTTTATTTCCTGCAATTTTTTCTAAAAATTCAGATTATCAAGTATTTTATGGAGATGTTGAAGAAAATGGGGTCAATTATTTGATATGTGGAAAAACTAGAACAACGAATGCATTATATTCTCCATATGATTAGGCATTTATTAGTGTATTCACAGCTAATTTTGCACCTAAATTCTAATTGAATTTACATGTAACTGCTGGAGATACCTCTACACGAGTTTGTTTATTTGGCTATGATAAAAGAATATTTTCTGCCTCTAATTCTAGAGGAACCTCAGGCTTTGATGAATCAATTTACTTATTCTAGCATTCCTACACTGGAAAATTTATCAATGGAAAATAATTCAGACTTGCTAACAAAAAGAACATTTTAAGACAATACATAGTTAACAAAGATAGTGGAGACTAGTATCTTTAGGGAAGTCAATAAAGTAGTCCATTACAAATACATTATTATCCGACAACGTTCATCATGAAACTTGACATAGACTATAATGTTGCTATGTTTAGCAGTTATAGAACTTCATAAAATTATCAAGATTAATTTCCAAATACCTTTGCAGTAGATTTCGTAAACGCTTAGATTTATTCTATATTTAATGGATATTTCGGAGCTGCTAGTAATTTTCTGTATACTGTTTTGTAAGTTAGAGAATCAGATGGCAAGATGTAGTGGGCTAAACAAATGAGAGATCCTGGTAATTCAACTTTAGTAATAAGAACACCTGATTACACATTTTCTCAGTCAGGATTGCTAATAAATGGAGGATATGTTTATTCATGCATAACAGTTAAGATACCAAGTGGAACTACAATTGGGTTCGAAGTCTATCTTACAAGACATAACTAAACTGATGGTTCAAATCTGCTGAAAACTGAATTAGCTTACGGAGTTCCCTCAGCAACTTAAAATATAACTTCAAACTGGAATGGATGCAATATTTAATATTCAGATTCTTCTCAGCTAATCTACTTAATGCAAGCAGAAGTATCCTCCATGAACATTATGGCATTTTATGCAAACTCTACCACATCATTTGACTTTAAATACACAGTGATCAAATTTTAGATGACGAATTATGTTCATTAGTATTATCATATAATGCCTAGGGATGATCAAATATATTTCTTCACTTCTGCAACTTATTCAAGTTAACCGATCGGAGCATTTTTTAAACTCACAGATTAGTACAATATAGACTGGACTGACACATGCCAAGTATATAGTAGAGATTCAACAGGCTACCAGGGCTATTTAATGCCAAATGGTATATATGGCGATCAAGGGTCCTCTTGGATAGATTACACAGAAATAAGTCAATTTAAACCAAGCCCAAGCTCAGTTTAGAAATATATAATCAATCCATAAAACTTTAGAATATATGCCATCGCAAATTAGACAGCCTACACAAGACTGCTATATGGAAATTGCAGTTTCATGTCCTACCCATAAAGTTTCTAGATTAATAATAGAACAGGATCCCCTCTTAATATCACTTCAGGAGGATTTAGCGTTAGTTTAAACAGATATTCTATCCTCCTACCAAAGTTTATTTAATGTGCAAATTTAGATCTTACCTATTCTATATAGATCACTCCTTCAAATGGCTCGACCTTTATAACATTTAATTAAACTTTGATGACTATGAGTGTTGAACCCTCGAGCAACACATATATTGGCAATTATTCAATTAGATTTTAGGCGATAATAACTAGTTATCCTGCTTACTCAAATTATTCTGACTTTGTAATAGAAATAGTAAAAAATGTTCCTCCTAATCCAATTATGGGTTTCAATTCTACAGTCAATATGTATGCTCACCAAAATCGAACTTGGGAGATTCAACTTGATTCAGATTTAGAGGGTGATGAAGCTATATTTAATGTGACTGTTCTTTCATCTTCGCTAGTAGACATAAATTCTACAATATCTTTTCTCAAGATTGATTATAAAGACAATCAAGGCATTATCTTCTCAGTAATAAATCCTAGTTAACCTCCATTGCAAGCTGCATATATTTGCTATTATCTCAACATCTTAGTCTTTGATAACTATAATAAAGCTACTCCGAATTCATATTTGAAATTACTAAATATTAGTCAAAATAATGCCCCTTTTCTTAATAGTGGTATTAGTTTGATCATTCCGAAAATTTACATTACAAAAGCTTTCACTTATACATTATGGTATAATAATTTTACAGACTCAGAAAATAATTTAATAATAATTACTTGTGCTAAATCAACTGATGCGCCAAATACTGATTGGATTACTATTGAAGTCAATAAAACAGTTAAAGGAAATATTACTTTCTTTGGTTAGACACCTCGAAATAACTCCTATGCTGGAGTTTATAAATTCAGCTGCACTGTCAAAGATCAATATGATGGAACACCTAATATTTACAATTTCTCATTGACAGTTTTGGCAAAATAACAAATTTAAATCGTTAGATCCTAATCAAAAGTAAAGCTTCGCTTACCTCAAACAATAACTCTAAGGTTTGATAAATTCAGTTCCGATCCCTAGCAAGAACCTAATTATTACTCTCTCTTTATAAATGATACTTTATACAATACATCTCTGTAAAATAGTTGGATTGATTGGGACAATTTGACCAGTAAGATTTATGTAAAACCAATTAGCAATGAGAATGGAGGTAATCATTCCATGGCTGTAAAATTTGAGGATTTTATATCTTAACCAAGATTTGTGAATTTCACGCTTGAGATCACTCAAAACTGGCCATTGATTGCTAAAAAAGATTTACCAAACAGAGTTGCAATCGTTAATAATTGGTTCTTTTACAACTTTTCTAAGGAAGAGTTGTTTTTAAATCCTGAAGGAGAGTAATTCTAAATGTACTTTAGATAATCAGATACCGGAAACAATCTACCTTATTTTATCTCAAGAAATTTCTCAAACGGAACATTAGGAGGCTACACATTCGGTAATTAAACTCGAAAATATATTAATTTATAGAACCTGATGTTGGCTCATACAATCTTCAATGTGTTGGTATAGATGATGGAAACTGGGAGACAATCATTCCTTTCGTTTTAATGGTCAAACGTAAGATAAAATTAATTTATTCAAAATATTTAGCCTGTTATTACAAGTGCATGTTATGCTGGGATTCAGACTATAACACTTGCAAATCTTGCAATGCTGAATATTATTTCTACAATAATGAATGTCTTGAAAAATGTGTAACTGGAACTTATGAAGATTAATTTGTCTGGCAGTGTAAAATTTGTCCTTATATATGTTAAACTTGCACTGGGCCAAATACTCGATCCTAATGTCAAAGTTGTAGACCTGGTTATTTTCAATTAGAATCAGGATGCTTTATTAAATGTCCTACCGGCTTTTGGGGAGATAGAACTGATTATAAATGCAAAAGTATTTTAATTTAAACTAAATTGATTTAGGATGCAATTAAGCTTGTAACCTATGCTATGGACCCTCATCTTCACAATGCTTTAATTGCACAGAAATTATTGAGGAAAATGAAATAGGAGATTTTTAAAAGATTGGATATTTATTGGCAGGAACTGAATGCAAGGTTCCCAGATGTATCAATGGACAGTACTTTTAATGGGAAAATAAATTGCTAGATGGTATACATTATGGCAAGTGTGAAACCTGCCATAAAACTTGCAAAAGATGCTTTGGACCTAAGTAAAATTAATGTCTATAATGCTATGAGGGTTTTATCATCAATAACTAGTTGAATATTTGTATACCATGCGAAGAAATTCCTGGAATGTTTACAAATGAAGAGTTGGAATGTGAAGATATTTGTGGTGATGGAATTGTAGTAAATAAGTAATGTGATGACGGTAATCTTATTTCTGGAGACGGCTGCAGTAAATTGTGTCAAACTGAATACGGATTTACTTGTTTAATAGCAAATTAGGCCTGTAGAGAAAGCATTCCACCACTATTCTAAATTAATACTATAACTCCAAAAAATTTAGTCTATGTTGAGTTTTCTGAACCAGTATTTATAATAGATGAAGGAGCAATTTCCTGGAAACATTATTGTAGATATTATAGGATAAAAAAGTACTTACCTATTTAGTTGGAGAGTGATTTAAGATTAAAATAATCAGCTTTTACCTGATAGAATCATAAGGAAATTTACTATAAAAATATCTGATCTCAAATAATCTTTAGATGGATCTGAGAATGTTAAAATTTCTTTTCAAAATTATTCAATGATAAGGGATGAAGCAGGAAATGAACTTACTGAGGGATCATTTACTATGACTAATCCTTATCCATTCGTTTATTTATCTTAATCAGAGACTGATACTGCTTAAAATAGTGGAAATTCTTTGAAATACACATTCCTATCAGTTTTTAGCTTTAATCTTGCTCTAAAATTAGTAATGAATAGCTCTATGTAATTTTTATGGGGGTTAGTTCATGCACTCTAAGTTTTTAATTTCTTGCTTTACATGAACATAGACTTCCCAGATAATGTCCTGCTATTCTCCAAATATATGCAAGTTGCTTCAGGTAATGTCGATGAGCTCTAGAATTACATTCCAAATGTAGCTGATTATATGGTTTATGAAGAAAATATTTCAGAACCAAAAGATCAAGAATAACTTTAGGAAAGTTTTAAAGAAAACGATATATCGCCTTATTTTCTTATATCTTTTGGATAAAAGCTTACTATATGGACATTCGGTTTGCTTATAATTCTACCAATTGTGTTGACAATGAATAAACTATGTAAAAAAATAAAAATGTGGGAAAGTGTCCTAGGATAATTCTTCTTTAATGGACCACTTCGAACTTTTATAGAAATGTACATTGAATTAATTTTGCAAGTCATTATAAACACTCAATTCATTAAGTTTGAAAATAGAGATTAGATCATAGCTACTTTAGTTGCCTTTATATTTGGAACCATATCTATACTACTACCTTTTCTTTCAATGACTGTCATATATCATAATCGTAAAATGATAAAGAAGTTTTAATGGAAGAAAAGTTATGGGATGCTTACTGATGAAGTAAGAACTAAATCTATAATTCAGCTATATTACTATCCCTTCTTTATGTTTCAAAGATTAATGATTGCTGCCATCATAGTTTATGTTTATGAAAAGCCATTACTATCTTGCTTCTTGGTAATATTATGCAATATTGCAATGATATTCTATCTAATTTTAGAAAAACCATTTAAGGAAGAAAGTTAATAAACCACTACTGTGCTTGATGAATTAATTATATTACTTTGTGTTATCATGTTCATTATACTTGGATAGAAGTAGCAAAATCCTGATGAGAAAAAAAATCTGGGTTGGATGATTGTGCTGCTAATATTATTTAGCGTATGCAAGAACTTTGGAGTAGTAATCTATTTTGGCTTCCTAAGAACAAGTGAGAAACTCAAATTAATGTTCTCAGCAGAGGATCATCAAAATGATTCAATACATTCAGGTGAAGAAGATGATAGCGATTTGGATGATGGTTTTGACACTGATGAATTAGAATAAGAAATAAAAGAAGAGACTTAAAAATTAAAAAATACAAGGACATAATCATCAATTATTTTAACAACAACTCCCTAAAACTCTTCATTTAATGAGATTTATTCACCATAGAAAATATTCAAATAATTAGCCCACAAAACTTCTTCTAAATAATATTTCTAAAGTTTTAAGATATTGTCAACAACCTAATAAAATTTGAACCCTACTATACCAGGATAGATTTAAACAAAGGAGACATTATTTTGAGAGAAATTTCAATAGATTTCAGAAATGCCTAATTAAATATTTGAGAAGACAATACTTTAGATATCAAATTTGAAAAAATAAATTATCCTTAATTTCATGAATTCTCGCCTTATTTTAGTCATATTTCCACGTTTGGGGTTTTGGGGTTTTGGGG